TGTAGCCCAGCACCAGCCAAGCAGGTAGGAGCTTCCAGTCCCCCTGGATGTGGTCAGCCAGGCCCTTGCCTCAGCCCCAGCCCTGGCCCTGGCTCTAACCCCCTCCCTGTATTCCTGCCTCCTCAGCATTAGATGAGAGTGGGCTGGAGCTGAGCTCGCAGGGCCCCATGCTACCACTGGGAACTGCCAAGAAGAAGATGTGGCTCCTGTCAAAGCACAAGGGACAGACCCACCCACCCCCCTGTGACTCTCTGCAGAGGAAGGGGACAGCACAGCATGGGCAGGGCCTTTGCTACTGGCTCCCCTGCACCTCTTCCTCAGGGCAGGTTTGCTGGCCTGGCAATGCAGCCGGGACGCCTCGCTACCCATCTGGGATTCAGGTGTCTTAGAAGCCCATGCTGGGGCTCCCGTCTGGGACAGCAGGTGGGCCCCCAGAGCCCAACATGACTTTCCTTGCTCCACTCGCCTCTGTCCTAGGCAAGCATCTGGCTTAACGTGCTGTAACTAATTCTTCCAAAATGTGATACTTTCTTTATGCAGGTATTAAATTTAGGCACAATTAGCTTAAAATCACCATTTTTAATGTGCATTAAGGGTGCACACATGTAGACCCTGTTAGACCCCGACTCCATATGGCACCCAACAACTAGGGAGACTACGGTCCAATTGCCCATGGATCCTGTTACCCATTAGCCAGAGCAAGCGGGAGCAAACACCAGAACACATTGCTCACAACAGCTTTATTCAGAATGGAGACAGCTTTGGACTAGCTCCCAAAAAACTGGGGAGCCACCCTGACCAACAGTTCTTTCCAACATTTATACACCTTGGTTCATACATATTAGCATTTATTCCGCCCTCATTCTGCCTTTTTTTCCACCCATTTCTCCTCCTATCTCAAGCTCCACCTCTGTTTAGTGTTTGCTTCCTTAGCATGGTATTGTCTATACATTTCCTTCATTTACATGCCTCTCTGCTAAGAGTGTATGTGTAAGACTCCAACCCCCATCTTCTTTTGGTCACTTGCAGTTTCTCGCTGGTTCTTGCTGGTTTTCTTGCTGACTTCAGGACCATCTCCAAGGCCATATTTCTGCTTTTGTCTCCTGACACTAGTTGGTGGGCTATTCTATTTTTACTTAACACATCATGCACTTTGCACCCTACCCTCCTGTTAAGAATCCGTTTACTTAAGCATTAGTCAAGTTAGTTGCTTTTAGTATATCATCTAGACTTGTGACTAGTGGCTTTTGCTGAGGCACAGGAAAAAACTTTTAATCAGCTGCACACGGAGCACTCCCAGATTCCATATTGTTACCCCAACACACAAAATCCATACCATTACCCTAACAGACCCATGCATTTTAAAAATGGGTAATGCACCTTAAATCACTGTGTGTGGATGTGCCCATTGATAAGGTTTGGAAAATCAATCCCTAGAAATTTTCAAGATCAGGTTGTTCAGACACTTAGGTAAGATGGTTTAGTAAGGAATGATTCTGCCTTGAGCAGGGGACTGGACTAGATGACCTCTAGAGGTCCCTTCCAGCCCTACTTTCCTATATCCTAAGGAGGTCCTCAGCTATATAACAAGAAGCTGCACAGGAAACAGTCAGAAATTCAATAACTGGGGTAAGCTGACTAAGAGACTGCTAGTAGCAGAATCTCTACAAGAAGAAAACCAGACATTTTAAGGCCCATGTTGTCAGGATTTCAGTAGATTACAATATAGGTATTGAAAGGTATCTGGTATGGACTGGTGGATTAGGAGACTGAGCTTTAAAGGACCTTACTTGTCCCTTAGGGTGAGAAAATGACACCACTCCCTGGTATGGATGTTCACTGGCACTATTTGTGGGGTAGTCTTTTAGTATATCTATATTTGCAAACCATTTAAAAAATAGACAGAGCCTTAGACTAAGTACATAGGAGAGCTCATAAATCTTGTTATGTGGGGCTATGCTTTAGAATTCCTAAATATATAGACTAATTTTCAGTCTAGAGATGCAGCAAATTGCCAGATGTTCTTCATGAAAGAATACAAGTGAAATATAAATTGTGAAAATCCTTCTTTACTGAGATACATCTCTCTGAAGCTTGTTTTTGCTGTTAATACCCAGTAGCCAAATCTTGGATTATTTCTCTAGAGGTGATTAATAGTAGCTGTTTTAAGTTCATTTTGAAGAGTACAAACTGGCAGATGCAGTGTTCATACATAATGGATACAATGAGTCCATACTAAAATATTACCTTGTGTTTCAGGTATCAGTTCTTTCAGATTATTTCATTATCACCAGCAATAAACATTGACATGTTGTGTTAAAAACATTGACTACTGAAAGATGAAGTGGCACTGGGAGAAGGAATATTTTGAATTTAAAAAAGCTTAAATGATGACTGGGTTAATTTGGAAGCACTACAAAGAAAGGATGTAAAAACTAATCTGACCTCAGTGATGAAAAACTTTCAGATTATGTCGTGATTGTTGGTGTGTTACAGGGTGCAATCATAATAGAAAGCACAACTTTGGGGTGTTCCAGCCAGGACCCATTTGTTATTTATCTCACAAAAATATATCTATTTTATGAATTTAGATTCAGTTTCTGAAATAAGGAAACTGAAGCACAGAGGTAGTGCTTGGCTCAGCTTGTATGGGAACTCTGGGAAGCTTTTAATAGAATCATAGAATCAATGAGTCGGAAGGGACCTAGACAGATCATCTAGTCTGACCCCCTGCCATCGGCAGGAAGGAGCACTGGGGGTGGCAGGGGTCATAAGACCCCATCCAGGTGCCTATCCAGTCTCCTCTTGAAGATTTCCAGGGAAGGTGAGAGCACCACCTCTCTGGGAAGCCTATTCCAGGCTCTGGCCACCCTTACAGTGAAGTAGTTCTTCCTAATATCTAACCTAAACCTATCCTCCCTCAGCTTGTGGCCATTGTTCCTGGTGACTCCAAGGGGGGCCC